TCTATAGAATGGGGCTATCTGACAAGGATATTTTTGCACTATATGGGGGTGATACATTGGTAATTCTCCCTCCTTGCACTCTATGGGGGTGATACACTGGGGGTTGCTGAAACTTCCGACCTATGCAGCTTTAGTGGAGGATCCTAAGTTCCGTAAATATATTGATCTGTATGCAAAGGTAATTTGGGTTCAGGCTTGTTTCGGTTCTATTTTGCTGGTAAACAGTTGGATTATTTATCACTGCTAGTGCTAGATTATACTTACAGATTTACCGTGTTTGTTAATTTAGAGCTACTTTAATGTTGTTGGTTGGCACTAATTTTAACAAACAATCAAATGTGGCTCACCCATTTTCTAGTGGTGCATGATCTGATCAACTCTGACTTATGAATGTAATATGTTTTCCTGCATCAGTGACAAAATTTGTAATCTGTTTAGTTCCTTTGGGTTTTCATCTCATCTTGTTTTTCCAGCGCGTGCTGAGTGGTCTTTGTACAACTAGTACGATTAATACCCTATTATGAGATCCTGTTGGTGCTTTTGAGTTTTGACCATATTAAAATTCATCTAGTTATATCTGTTTTCTTCTTATTGATATGAAACTATGATTTTGGTAAAAAATTTTATACATTATTGATGGTTCCAAAAATGTCGCTTGTTGCAGGTTTTGGCTAAAGACTACATGATGCCATGGATGTATAATGTATAGGACCATTCAACTAACTTTAAGTAAAAGTGGAGCGTTGCTTTCGTAGTTTTGTTGGTACTTGTATATAATAATACATTGTATAATGATTTACATTAATTATAGTTCATTATTAATAACAATTCTTCATATCTAGCTTATAGATATTTACATAATTTATAGATTAGTCATTTTAATAATTATTTATTTCTAGTTTATAAAATTAAATAGAATAATTTATATCTGGTCAAATATGACGTCATATATATATTATTTACACCTGCCATTTATTATTAACGACGCTTCAGATAGTGTCGCAAATAGTACTTGCGACGGTTAGTTTGCGTCGTATATGGTGTCAAAACATTTGTGACATAGGTTTATTGCGACACGTCCATTATCGTCGTAAGGCCGTCGCTAAAAGCTTTTTACGATATTTTTAGCATTTTTTGCGACATTCCCTTTCCGTTGCAAAAGGCCCTTTTTTTGGTAGTGATATATTATTCTTTCTAGTGAAATGCTTTATTTTATTACTTGTCATTATAAGGAAGTTTTTCTTCTCACATATCACATACTTATTGTTTACACATTATCCAATTATTAAGTTTTTTATTCATACATGTGTTGTGGCTTCATTTGACATTTTCTAAAAAATAATTTTAAATTTCCATGTTTTTAAGCAAATTTCCATCATTTCCATCGAAGGCAATCGATATCAATATCGATATACAATATATACATTGATATTTCCACAAATTTGCTTATCGATATTTTCACCAATACCGAAATTTTAAACACTGGGTAAAACACAAGCATTTAACATTTCCAGTTTTTATGAATCTCATAGGATCATCCATGACATGTATACTTCTGGAAAAAAACTATGGCTTTTCTTATTTGCGAAGAGCTTAAGCGCGATGCTCATTGACAAGGATGTTTTCGATTATTTAGAGGAGCTTAGCATGTACAAGTAGCAACATACAAGAACTTTCCATTTGAATCCCACCTTGATCTGAGTAAGCAATAAATAGATAATATATATAAGATCGACCCTTGGGATTTTTGACAAAATGCTTAATGTAGACCGAATCATATTTAGATTTACTTGCAAAACAGGGTAGTAAGCGGTGTTAATCTAGGATATTTATTATGAATCAACAGAAGGAGAAAAACGTCATTAGAATGAGTGCTAGCTAATTGATAAAAGTATATAATGTGGATCAAATAGAAAGTAAAGTACTTTAAATCGCTATACTTGTTATTAAAATTGAAATGAATTAAAATTTTATAACCAAAATATAGTAACTTAGTAACCAATTTGTGATCTAACTCGGTACATATTGCTGCAGATAGCTGTCTTCCTGATTAATTAGACTGGAAAGACCCTCCAGCAAAAATAAAAAGTGCCAAGACCTTAAAGTCAAGCAGCCCCACTTGAGTTATATATACACTAAAATATAATATTTGGTTATATTAACAATAAAATGGATTTATTAAACATCCAAAAAAGAGTACCTCTGATTAGGTATGTACAAAGAAAAAGCTAATTAAATCATGCATCCAATGGCAATGGTAGCAAGGTGCTTGGAGAAACTTCTTGTGATTGCCAACCTAATAAAATAGATTTGTATATCTGACATGCATACATACATGCAAGCGAGCAAAATTAACTTATTAGTGAGATTCAGCTCGACGATCAACAACACAAGGGTTAAGGGTGGAAAGGAAAAAACCAAACTAGTCTCTACATGTTAAGAGACAGATGCACAATAGACAACAAGCTATATGCTATTTACTTCTTTAGGGTTTTGTCATTTATATCGACTTTAGTCTTGTTGCTGACTCATTTTTCCTGCAAACAATTAAATAAGAAAAAAAATATTTATATATATTGCATATAATGGGATTAATATATATATATATATATATATATATTGTATATAATGGGATTAATTAATTAATATATCCGCTTCTACCTCTTTAATTTTTATCAAGGTTATGATATCTTAGAGGTGTCTGGAATTGGGATATAATTCTCTATTTTTGTTGTCTAGTTAATGGCGTGTCTTGAATTTGGTCATATGCTACAGTTCACAACATCTTCTTGGAAGTAACTACATGTTTTTCTAATAGAGCAATAGAGAAGTTTATTGATCAAAACAAATACAAACATTACATGGGTACAATTCTCCAGTGATGTCTACCACACATGAACATCGAGGCACCAGTAAGACGGCAAACGCAACAGACTTAGTAACGGTGAGCACATAAAACCATTGCAAGAACAGTAAAGTCACAAACATCTTGCCTAAGCAATTAATTAACACAAAACCACTACGCGGGACAGCACAAAGCAAACAAAAGAGAGATATAATACTTGAGAGCAACTACAGTTCATATAACATTAGGGTAGGACGAATAAGTGATTTATATTAAGTTGAAATATGCCTACTAACTGCAGAGCTAGCATTTGAAGGCATGATTGCTTATTCTTTAACGGATATCAAAAGTCAACGAAAACTTAGCAATTTCACAGCGTTTGGTATGGTTCGTAAGACTTGGACTTGAAACTTTGTTCTTTGATCTGCTGTCAAGCCTTGCAGGTTGAAAGGCTGATTTATCTTCAAAGCGTATGCAAACATGATATTTTGTTTTATTTAGGGTTTTCACACGTACACACGTATACCCACCGTAGTTATGAGTTAATTACGAATATTGTGCATGTGAAAATAATCTGTTTTTCTTATGCTTTGGGAATTTGAACAAATTCTAGCTTGAAAAGGCTAGCATTTTTTTTGTTGCGGCTGTATGCTTTTTTTTTTTTTGGGTTCAAACCATATTTTCTTCGTGCCAAGTGTCAGATAGGTTTCAAAATACAGGATGATATAATATGATTTTTTATTTTTTTTACCACTGCAATACTACATGACATGCCGAAATGGTGTGACGAGTTTATATACATTTACATTGTTAGATTAGACTTTAATTTGGAATCTTTTTTGTGATTATAGCATGTAATATGTGAATGTAATTCTAACCTAAATAGGGATTAACATAACCCTATATATATTGTAATATTTTCATAGATCAATACAAGAAGTCATAATTCCACGTACATAAATTTATCTCACTTGCGTTAATGTATATCGACATAATACCACAGGATATGATAATGTGGTGCGAGGAGTTTATATAAAATACACGAATCTGTCGGGCTGGCTCCAATGTCATAAACACAACAATTTTGAAGCCAAAGAAAAATAAAGTTACAGATGATCATTAAGGTGGTGTTAGTAGTACAAACTGTGCAATGTAATTGAAGTCAGCACATCGGAAAAGAAAATCGTGTCAGAAAAATCAGAATATTAATTCTTGTGGAAGGAGGAAGGCACAAAGCCCCAAAGGAAATGGAATCTGTAATTTTTCTGCAAACAAAAAAGCACAAAGGAAACCTAAAAAATTGAAGTTACAAAATAAGGGTTGCAAGGCATGTTTTTGGAGTCGTGTCTCTATAACTACTACGAGAAATGCGCCTTATCCTAGAAATGTTTTAATGCCAACCGTAGTGCAAAATTGAAATGGACTACAAATCTCAATCCTTGAGAATTACAAGTGGCTTTCTCACTTGAAAGCTTGAAATAAACATACCGTGTATATATAGAGAGAAACCCTTCAAAACTATCTGTCAAAGAAAACATAAATTAATGAAGAAAAACTTGGATTTGGGTTGACATTCCCAAGTTCTATATGCAATGCAATGAAATGAATCATTGTATATTGTCTGTAAATGTCAAACATTTTAAATCATATCATATATATAGAACATTTTTGTTGTTTTATCAACAGAATTGTGTTTACGTCTATTTATGTTACAGTTATATAACTAAACTGTTTTTTTCAATAAATTTATACGCGGTTGATCTTCTAGTTGAAGGAAGGATGACTTAAAAAACGATTGGTTTCTCATATCAGGTAGTCTACTAAGTTATTTAGAAAATCAAAATCATTAGTCACTAGTAGAAAAAACACTTTGCGTGACGTAGGTACTTTCGTCGCGCAAAGTCAAAAATCGTTGCCTGAAAAATAGCATAACGAAACCTCCGTTGTGCGCTAACCGTCGCGCCAAGGCAATGACAGTAAGGTTTGCGCAACGAAGGAGTAATTGCGCGACACAGGTATCTCTATCGTGCAAAGCAGTTTTGTGCGACGCATTTTACTTCTTCGTCGTGCAAACACTTGGTTTTTTTTTTTTGGCAAAAATATTTTTTATTTAATTTTTAATAAATATTGTAATTAAATTCTAAAAAATAATTAATAAACCAAGAAAAAGTATTTAATTATAAAATATATGAAAATGTACATACAAGATGTCCGAACAAAAAAATAAAAAACTACAACAACTAGTCTTCTAGGTTTGATACATTAGGCTACTGGGTATAGGCTGGGCGAAGTGGCTAGAAGGTCGAAGGTGGAGCAAGATCAGGTGTTGGCATCGGGATTTGGAGGTTGGACATCTGTAAGGCTCGTAAGATCATGCTCATCTTCTTGTCCTGGGCTGAAAACTGGGCTGCAATCTAGGCTTTCCGAGCATCCTGGGCTGCTTCCTGGGCCGCACTGAGCTGCTGAACTGACACTAATGACGTCAATGATGCGGGCACCTGGGATGCCTTAGGAGTAGCTTCAGTAAGGGGTGTAGGCTCCCCAATCAATGGAGCACTCACAGCTGAAGTAGTAGGTGCTGAAAATGCGGGAGGAGCATTGGTCACACCCCGACGACAAGTGATCAACTGTGACATCTATACAATTTTTGAACCATAAAAATATAACATTAGAAACTAATTCTTTCTTACATTTGAAACTAATCAATTAGCAAGAAAAGTAATATCATATCCTTTCTTGCATTTGTTCACATATATATAAAGCAGTATTGCATACTAATTCAAAAGTAGTTTTGGTTGATCAACTCCAAACACATGGTTTACTTGAAATAGCTGAAACAATAAATATAATCAAGGCAAGGCAGCTATACTATACACAGAAGCTCAACGAAACTAATACAATTAACATGAATTAAGCAACTGCAATGTTGTGTTGTGTTGACCGACTGAACTGATCAAGGACAACTTTTCCAACACCCATTGATTTATTCAACTCAAACTAGTCTGTATAAAAATATTTTTAAAAATTAAAATAAAAAAAACCCAACAGAATACCCACAAGGATAGTGGATGTCATTTCAAAAACTATATAACAAATTACCTGAATAATCTCGTCATTTTTTTTCTTCTTGTTTGGTCTCCAACACTCCAAGTCTCCAATCAAAGTGAGAAACGTTAGTTCATAAAATCGATATTTCCAAGAGGCAACAAGATCTGTGTTTTCTTATCTGGTGCTATGTCTACATATATATACACACGCATGTAGAAAACAAGAGGGTTTCATTTAACATAAAAAAAATGAAGACAAATCTCATGACTAAGTTATTGAATTCTATTTCGAAAATAATTGATGAACAATAAACACCATAAATAAATCAAAAATCTTAATAGGCTAAATCTACAAAGAAATTACACAGAAAATAATCATAAATTTAAAAAATTTAAAACGAAAACCCAATGTAAACAGGGTTGTGGCTGTATTCATCTTCTTTCTCTTAATTATATACTTTCCTGTATTCATCAATTTTTCTATTTTAATCGTAATTCCCATTAAAATGCAAACAGAGCTTTCCAATACAAATAGAGAAATTAAGGTGGGCTTGCTGTGATGAGAAATTAAGATGCGAAATTAAATAATTTACCTCGGAATCACTGTGGGCTGTGACGGCTGTCGACGGTGAAGCCAGCGAGTGCTCGAGGGTGAAAAGGTTTGAGTCTTTGAGATGTGCTGCAGACTGCAGTGGGTGCTGCAGACTACAATTGGGGCTCCAAAGGCTGCGAGGCTGCGGCTGCGGGGTTGCGAGAGTGGAGTGGTGAGTGGTCGTCTCTGAAGGGAAGAATGAGAACACCTAGCCTAGGGCTATACAAAACAAAAAGCGCCCATTTTTTCCAATCGGAAAAAATTTTGAGCCCATTTTTTTCTAATTAAACCGCCACAATTTTAACAAATTGCGCGACACAGGTATGCATTACGAGGTCGCGCTAACACTTTTTGCGTGATGTCATGGTATGACTTCATACAAATTATATTAAAAAAAAAATTATAAAATTTACTGAAAATGTGACTTTACTCATTTCAAATTCATTTATTTTTTAACATAAAACACAATAATATATTTTTCTAACAAAAACTCGATCTGAATTACAATAATAAATTTAAAGCTACTTAATAAATATATATACTATTCAATTTCTTAAGTGTTATACGTACAAAATAAATAAATTTAAAGCTAGCTAAGAAATATATATACCATTGAACTTGATGGGATACGCATTCTACGAAACTAGTTTCAACGATCAAACCGTCAAACTTGTTTGTATATACTTCGAGATCGCATACACCAAAAATCATAAAAAACAATCATTCAGAGATCAAGTAACGGGACAAAATTTTTTGAGGTTATAAATGAAAAATCATCATTTAACGGTTATTTTAACTTTGAACTTGATGATTTTTTACAGCTACACTTCTTGACTCTATATGAATACAATGAATAAACTCAATCTTCAATTTAAAATATTTGCACTAGTAGATACCATAAAATCTTATGTTATACTTAATGAAAGTATAAATAAACTTTTAAGTGTTAGTGAATTTATTGTTTTCATGGGATACGCATTCTACGAAGCTAATTTCAACGATTCAACCGTCAAACATGTTTGTATATGCTTCGAGATCCGCCAAAAATCGCAAAAAGCAAACATTCAGAGATCAAGTAATGGGACAAAACTTTTCGACGGTTATAAACAAAAAATCACCATTTAACGATTATTTTAACTCCAATTTTGATGATTTTTTACAGATACACTCCTTAACCTTATATGAATACAATTAATGAATTTGATCTTTAAATTTAAAATATTTGCACTAGTGGATATCACAAAATCTTATGTTATACTTAATGAAAGTATAAATAAACTCTAAGTATTAGTGAATCTATTGTTTTGATGGGAAACGCATTGTATGAAACTAGTTTCAACGATCCAACCATCAAACTTATTTGTATATGCTTCGAGATCGCATACTCCAAAAATTGCAAAAAACAAACATTCAAATATCAAGTAACGGAACAAACCTTTTCGACAGCTATAAACGAAAAATCACGATTTAACGGCTATTTTAACTTCGATTTTGATGATTTTTTTACAGCTACACTCCTTGATCCTATATGAATACAATAAACTAATTTGATCGTCAATTTAAAATATTTACACTAGTGGATACCACAAAATCTTATATTATACTTAATGAAAGTATAAATAAACTTCAAGTGTTAGTGAATCTATTGTTTTGATGGCATACGCATTGTATGAAACTAGTTTTAACGATCCAACCGTCAAACTTGTTTATATATGCTTCAATATCACATACGCCAAATATCGCAAAAAACAAACATTAAGAGATTATGTAACGGGACAAACCATTTCAACGATTACAAACGAAAAATCACCATTTAACGGTAGTTTTAACTCCTTGATCCTATATGAATACAATGAACTAATTCGATCATCAATTTAAAATATTTACACTAGTGGATATCACAAAATCTTATGTTATACTTAATGAAAGTATAAATAAACTCTAAGTATTAGTGAATCTATTGTTTTGATGGGATACGCATTGTACCAAACTAGTTTCAATTATCCAACCGTCAAACTTGTTTGTATATGCTTCAAGATCGCATACGCCAAAAATCGCAATAAACAAACAATCAGATATCAAGTAACGCAACAAACCTTTTCGACGGCTATAAACGAAAAATCACGATTTAACGGCTATAAACAAAACAACTTTGCGTGACGCAGGTGTACCTACATCACGCAAAGTTCCCCCTTCTCCCCCCCCCCCCCGCGCCGCCTTGTGCATATGACATCCAAAATCCAAACCTAACCCCTCTAATTTTCTTTTCAATTCTTCCAAACTATGAATTTTTTTATTATTTGCGTTGCATGTTTCGAAAATGAACTTGTGGTTGTTGATTGAAACGGGAATCACAATTTATCTTTGTTTTGTGACTATCTGCTTTTCCAATTTCACTTTTGGTTTCTCCAATATATTTATAGAGAGAGAGAGAGTATATACTTCAAACTTTTAAATGAAGGAAAAAAAAATATACATTGCAATTTGCAAGGTTTATGCTTTTGACTTGTGTTAGAACACAGGAAAGAAAGATAAGAAGTGACATTTCCGTGCTGACTTTGCGCAACGAAGCTAAGCGTCATGTAAAACTGTTTTGTGTGATGCAGCAAAGTTAGGAAAAAAACGGTAAAACGTTCTTGGTTTGGTGTCAAAATCTTGCGCAACGCAAAAAATGTCGTGCAAACGGCCTTTGTGCAACGGCACTGTGCGACAAAGTCTGGCGTTGAGCAAAACGGTTTTGTGCGACATAGGTGCGCCTTCGTCGCACAAAACTATTTTGCGCGACGCCAAACATCATTGCACAAAGTGCCGTTGCGTAAAGGCGTTTGCGCGACATTTGTGTTTAGCATTGCACAAACATGCTTTACGCGACAAAATTTGTTGCGTCGTGCAAACATGTTTTTGTACTAGTGAGTCATGTAGGTATTATATATCATGTCCAAATATACACGCTCAAATTTATAGTATGCTAATATGTTAGATGTCATGCAAAAGATCAATGTCCTCAAAAAAAAAAAAAAAACGATCAATGTCCTCTTCATATTTGAGAAGAAATTCTAAAATTAAATTATTAGCTAGGGTTCTTAGTAGAATTTCTATCTTGTGTACATGCACATTCACATGTATCTCCTTCATCTTCTGTGCCAAATATTATTGCATAGCTGTCTCAGTTCAATCTGCCTTTTGCCCTTAAGCTATTCTTCTTTGGTTGTGTTTGTCTTTATAATTGTTGAACTGGTTCTAACTTGTTGGAAATTTTTGAGTACAAATTTCATTGTCCCACATTGGTCATTACTAAAAGGTTCCCTCATTTTATAAGGCTTTGTCCCTTATAGAAAATGATTGGAGTGATAGACCATGAAGAATAAAATTGGACTAAGCCTTGGGGTTGGGCTTTGGGGTGTTCTAATTAATTGATAATTATTTTTTATCAATTGACTTATCTTTTCAGATGAAGTCTGAAGTGATGAAAGGACGCCAGAGAGCAAAGCACCCTTTGAGAAGATGTCTCCCAATAGACGCATCCCATTCTCATACCTGTTACGAGCAAGCATAAACCTATTGTATATAAATCCATCTACATGACATTTAGAACACAGAAAAAACAAAATTTTCTTCTACAATCCCAAACATTCTTTGTCACATCCCGGCCCGGGGGGGGGGACCACTTCCCGGGCCCGCTCCACCACCATAGCATGATATTTTTCGCTTTGGGCCCTGACCACGCCCTCACGATTTTGTTTCTGGGAAGTTAGGCCCTGATTTCGGTCGGGGTGTGTCATTCTTACTGAGAGAACCACAAAGAAATTTGCCAGAAGTCAAGTTTTCCGGTGCTAGAATTCTGATTTAGATTGTTGAATCCTGGTGAAGCAAACGTCCGTAGAACTACAAGTACTGAGTAGGGATGAAATTTCTGTTTCAAGGACATTACGGTACGCAAGCCTCGATCTTCAATTTGTCTGTTTAATATTATTTCATTTTGTTCATACTCTGTTAATTTATTTATTTACATTTATTATTTATTAACATAAATAAATTTATCACGGATTATTGATATATCTCCAACGTCACCTTTCCCCCGATTCTTTTATTTATCTACTTCATATTGTTAGATCTTAAAGCAAAGTGCAATTGTGCGAATTTATTTTAGGCAATTAAAACATATTAAATCATGGGAAAATCCTAAAAGCTCTCCTTTTCTTTTTGGACTCCTTTTTGGGTCATTTCGTTAGTTTAGAGATAATAATCTATACTGAATCACAATAGGTAGTGGCACTTAAATGCAAAAACGAAAAGTTCAACTTCAATGCATACCTGTTTTTTTAAGAGGGTTTAGGGTTTAAGTGCCCCACTATTTTTCCCATGATTTATTATGCTTTAATTGCCTTAAACAAAGGATTATAAGATTAGCTTCTTTCTATCTGTTAACTACTTCTCTGATCAAGTTCTGTGGACTTGACACTCTTTACAGATTGATCGATCGGTCGATTAGGACCGTTAACTGTTTGAATGGACGACTTATTTGATTGGATTTTCTGCTTATTTGCCCCAGAAATCATGCAACCTGAACTTGACAGTCCATTCAAGAACAAAAATAGGTGAAGATTTTAACGTCTAATTTTAACGGCTGTGAAAACAAAAAGGTTCATTTTAAACTTATATTTTGGATTTTGGCTTAATTATAGCAATATTCCTTGAATTTTACCCCTAGTTCAATTTTAGTCTCTTAACTCTAGTATTAGTTTCTTTAGTCCACGCAACTTATCAATGTGTTGTACCATTGGTCATTTTCACTAATGCCGTCTGTTGATGCACAAAATCGACGAGGACTTTGGTACAACAGAAAGTGTCAGGTTTGTGACCTTCGCTAGATTGCTCTAGTCATTAGTGTGGATAAGTATGTAAATGAATAGAGATAGGGAAGCAAACAACACAAGATGTACGTGGTTCACCCAGATTGGCTACGTCCACGGAATAGAGGAGTTCTCATTAGTTGTGAAGGGTTTACACAAATACATAGGTTTAAGATCTCTTTTAGTGAGTTCTAGTGAATAGTTTAGTACAAATGACATTAGAGATTATTGTGGGAGAATGATCCCCTTTTATAGAAGAGAGTTTCTAGCTTTGTTCTGACATTGACACGTGTCGTGTTGTGATTGGCCTCTGATACCGACATGTGTCGTGTTGTGATTGGCCTCATGGTTGGAGGAAAAGTCTTGTGGGTCCTTGACGATATGTTGTTGACCGGTGCTTAGTAGTTTCGGGATTGGTC